ATTTTTGCTCTGATCTTCATGATTTCTTTCCTTCTACTAACTTTGGGTTTTGTTTGTTCTTCTTTCTCTAGTTCCCTTACGTGTAAGGTTAAATTGTTTATTTGAGATTTTTCTTGTTTCTTGAGGTAGGATTGTATTGCTATAAACTTCCCTCTTAGAACTGCTTTTACTGCATCCCATAGGTTTTGGATTGTCGTGTTTTCGTTGTGATTTGTCTCTTGGTATTTTTTGATTTCCTCTTTGATTTCTTCAGTGATCTCTTGGTTATTTAGTAACGTATTGTTTAGCCTCCATGTGTTTGTGTTTTTTATGTTTTTTTCCCTGTAATTGATTTCTAATCTCATAGCATTGTGGTCAGAAAAAAATGCTTGATATGATTTCCATTTTCTTAAATTTACTGAGGCTTGATTTGTGACCCAAGATGTGGTCTATTCTGGAGAATGTTCTGTGTGCACTTGAGAAGAAAGTGTAATCTGCTGTTTTGGGATGTAATGTCTTATAAATAGCAATTAAATCTATCTGGTCTAGTGTGTCATTTAGAGCTTGTGTTTCCTTATTTATTTTCTGTCTGAATGATTTGTCCATTGTTGTAAGTGAGGTGTTAAAGTCCCCCACTATTATTGTGTCACTGTCAGTTTCCTCTTTTATAACTGTTAGCAGTTGCCTTATGTGTTGAGGTGCTCCTATGTTGGGTGCATATATATTTGTAATCGTTATATCTTCTTCTTGGGTTGATCCCTTCATCATTATGTAGTGTCCTTCCTTGTCTCTTGTAACATTCTTTATTTTAAAGTCTATTTTATCTGATATGAGGATTGCTAATCCAGCTTTCTTTTGGTTTCCATTTGCATGGAATATCTTTTTCCATCCCCTTACTTTCGGTCTGTATTTGTCCCTAGGTTTGAAGTGGGTCTCTTGTAGACAGCATATATGTGGGTCTTACTTTTGTATCCATTCAGAGAACCTGTGTCTTTTGGTTGGAGCACTTAATCCATTCATGTGTAAGGTAATTATTGATATGTATATTCCTATTACCATTTTCTTAGTTTTTATGGATTTGTATTTGTAGGTCCTTTTCTTCTCTTGTGTTTCCCACTTAGAGAAATTCCTTTAGCATTTGTGGTAGAGCTGGTTTGGTGGTCCTGAATTCTCTTAGCTTTTGCTTGTCTGTAAAGCTTTTGATTTCTCCGTCGAACCTGAGTGAGATCCTTGCTGGGTAGCGTAATCTTGGTTGTACGTTCTTCCCTTTCATCACTTTAAATATATCATGCCACTGCCTTCTGGCTTGTAGAGTTTCTGCTGAGAAATCAGCTGTTAACCTTATGGGAGTTTCCTTGTATGTTATTTGTCATTTTTCCCTTGTTGCTTTCAATAATTTTTCTTTATTTTTAATTTTTGTCCGTTTGATTACTATGTGTCTCGGTGAGTTTCTCCTTGGGTTTATCCTGCCTGGGCTCTCTGAACTTCCTGGACTTGGGTGGCTCTTTCCTTTCCCATGTTAGGGAAGTTTTTGACTATAATCTCTTCAAATATTTTCTCAGGTCCTTTCTCTCTCCTTCCTCCTTCTGGGACCCCTGTAATGCGAATGTTGTTGCGTTTAATGTTATCCCAGAGGTCTCTTAGTCTGTCTTCATTTCTTTTCATTCTTTTTTCTTTATTCTGTTCCATGGCAGTGAATTCCACCATTCTGTCTTCCAGGTCACTTATCCGTTCTTCTGCCTCAGTTATTCTGCTATTGATTCCTTCTAGTGTATTTTTCATTTCAGTTATTGTGTTGTTCATCTCTGTTTGTTTGTTCTTTAATTCTTCTAGGTGTTTGTTCTTTAATTCTTCTAGGTCTTTGTTAAACATTTCTTGCATCTTCTCGATCTTTGCCTCCATTCTTTTTCCAAGGTCCTGGATCATCTTCGCTATCTTTATTCTGAATTCTTTTTCTGGAAGGTTTCCTATCTCCACTTCATTTAGTTGTTTTTCCGGAGTTTTATCTTGTTCCTTCGTCTGGTACATAGCCCTCTGCCTTTTCATCTTGTCTATCTTTCTGTGAATGTGGTTTTTGTTCCACAGGCTGCAGGATTGTAGTTCTTCTTGCTTCTGCTGTTTGCTCTCTGGTGGATGAGGCAAGTTTCCTGATGGGAGGGGCTGGTGGTGGGTAGAGCTGGGAAGCACTCAGTAAAACTTTAATCTGCTTGTCTGCTGATGGGTGGAGCTGGGTTCCCTCTCTGTTGGTTGTTTGGCCTGAGGTGACCCAACACTGGAGACTACCCAGCTCTTTGGTGGGGCTAATGGTGGACTCTGGGCGGGCTCACGCCAAGGAGTACTTCCCAGAACTTCTGTTGCCAGTTTCCTTGTCCCTTGGTGAGCCATAGCCACCTCCTGCCTCTTCAGGAGACCCTCCAACACTAGCAGGCAGGTCTGGTTCAGTCTCTTATGGGGTCTCTGCTCCTTCCTCTGGGTCCTGATGTGCACACTACTTTGTGTGTGCCCTCCAAGAGTGGAGTCTCTGTTTCCCCCAGTCCTGTCAAAATCCTGCAATCAAATTCTGATTCTCTAGGAATTCCTCCTCCCATTTTGGACGCCCAGGTTGGGAAGCCTGACGTGGAGCTCAGAACCTTCACTCCAGTGGGTTGACTTCTGTGGTATAAGTGTTCTCCAGTTTGTGAGTCACCACCCAGCAGTTATGAGAATTGATTTTATTGTGATTGCGCCCCTCCTACCATCTCATTGTGGCTTCTCCTTTGTCTTTGGATGTGGGCTATCTTTTTTGGTGAGTTCCAGTGTCTTCCTGTCGATGATTGTTCAGCGGTTAGTTGTGATTCTGGTGCTCCCACAAGAGGGAGTGAACATACGTCATTCTACTCTGCCATCTTCAGCCAATCTGACATATTGGCATTTTCATAAGGCACCCAGCCTAATTTTCTAGTCTTTATTAGGCCGATTATCTTTAGTATAATTAAATTGTTCCCAACACAGGAGGCCCTTAAACTTAAATGACCACAATCTGGTGTTAGCCATATAAATCCATTCCATAACTGAGGGATGGTCCCTACTAATAATTGATAAGTCATATTTTTTAACTGAAATTTAGCTCACTCTGATTGAGCTTGAGCAACTTTAAAGGAAAATTATTTATGGCCAGGGTCATAGCAAGTATGATTGACTGGCCAAGTGAGGGGTCCCATCTAGTAATGGCAACAGTGGCCCAGACATAACTATAACTTCTTTCTTCTAAAATAAATTTTCTAAGGGCCATCCAATCAGAACCTTGGAGAGGAGAAACCCACCAAAGTAAACCAGAAGTATTGGACATAGTTAATTGACAAGAAACCCATCAATTGGATTGATTTCTAAAATTTGCATAGGACTGTGCCCATGACAGAACAACCTTTGATTTATGCTCAGAAGTCCAAGAAATTAAGAAAACATTATAAATAATCAAACAAGTCACGTCTGGCATTTGGGGATAGCTGTCAACTTCTTATGCCCTCATCTTGTCCTGGCATGGGTGTCTTTCTTTTCTTTTAGAACATCATTTTAATAGGAGTTTTAGGTCAGCAGTTCTCACTATAGACCAGTTTGGTGCAGGGGCCCTTTTTAAGTGGGAAATATGAATCCAAGTGTCACTTCGCTTCAGATTTGCTGTGCAGGAGCTAGTTAAAAGAACCTGATAAGGCCTTCCATCTAGATTAGAGAGAGTCTTTCAGTGGTGCCTTTTCCAGCATACACTGTCTCCTGGTTGTAGGTCATGGGGCATCTGATCTTCATTTAAGGATAGATTATTGTGATAAGCTTCAGAAGCCAGCTTAGGATGTCCTGTTAATAATTCAGTTAGACCCTTGCAATAATATAGCATATCTCCTTTCAGTAATACAGCTTCATATAATCCTTCATCCAGTCTCATTGCTCTCCACATGATAATCTCAAAAGGAGACAAATGGTGTGTGCCGAAAGAAGTGGATCTGAAGTTGAGGAGGACCAATGGAAGGGCCTTAGGCCAGGGTAAGGAATAAGCATCCGTAATCTTAGCCAACTGGGTTTCAACTGTGCCATTTGTTCTTTCTACTAACACAGAAGGTTGGCTGCGATAAGCATAATGGAAATGCTGCATAATCAACCAAATCTTACAAATTTCTTTAACCATTTGTCCAGTAAAGTGAGTTCTCCTATAGCTGTGTAGTTCTGAGGGGATTCCCCAAGTAGGAATCACTCTTTCTAAATTCAATTTCCCTGCAGATTATGCTGTTGCCCTTCTGCATGGGAATGCCTCAACCCGGTGTGAAAATATACAAATCATAACAAGAACATACTGATAACCTCGAGAAGGAGGCATTTGTATAAAACCAATATGCCAAATTTCAAAGGGACTTGCAGGTCATGGAAAATTTCCTTGAGAACTGTGTAATGACTTCCTAGCGTTACATTTTGGACAAATGGTACATCTTTTTTTTTTGAATTTTATTTTATTTATTTTTTATACAGCAGGTTCTTCATAGTTATCTATTTTATACTTATTAGTGTATACATGTCAATCCCAATCCCCCAATTCATCCCACCACCACCACCACCACCCCACCCCAGCCCGCTTTCCCCGCTTGGTGTCCATATGTTTGTTCTCTACATCTGTGTCTCTGTTTCTGCCATGCAAACCGGTTCATCTGTACCATTTTTCTAGGTTCCACATATATGCGTTAATATATGATAACAAATGGTATATCTTTTTTTAAAATAAATTTATTTATTTTATTTTTGGCTGCGTTGGGTCTTCGTTGCTGCACGCAGTCTTTCTCTAGTTGCAGTGAGCAGGGGCTACTTTTCGTTGCAGTGTGCGGGCTTCTCATTGCGGTGGCTTCTCTTGTTGTGGAGCACAGGCTCTAGGTGCACAAGCTTCAGTAGTTGTGGCTCACGGGCTCTAGAGCACAGGCTCAGTAGTTATAGCGCACGGGCTTAGTTGCTCCACGGCATGTGGGATCTTCCCGTACCAGGGCTCAAACCCGTGTCCCCTGCATTGGCTGGCGGATTCTTAACCACTGCACCACCAGGGAAGCCCACAAATGGTACATCTTGAATAGACCTTTCAAACTGCTGTAAAAGAAGGCTTCCAAAAATATTGTTTACCCCATAATATCATCTTATCTGGGTTCCAATGAGTTACCTTCAGCGAGTTGAGCTCCAAACAGAAGGATAGGCCTCCCATTTGGGCTGGGGTTGAATCTTCCTCCTTTTTGTGTCCAGGTGTCTTTCTGGCACCATTCCCTGAAATTTTAACAATATGTCAGTAAGTTCCGGGAGGCTGAAAATGACAACAAATAACAACCATGAGTTGGTTGTTTTTGTTTTGTAAAGCCACTGTCTTGGTAGCATGATCAGCTAGAGTTTCCTTTTGCATCTGCAGTGTCAGCCTCTGAATGATCCGATACCCTAATAACAGCAAGTGTGCTCAGAAGCAGATTTGCATCTAATAATTCTGCTACTTGTTTCCCAATTTTAATAGGCTGCCCTGAGGATGTTAAAAATCCCCTTTGTTTCAAAAACATGGCCAAATCACGTGCCACCCCAAAAGCATAGCAGCTATCTGTGTAAATATTACCAGGTTTTCCTTTTGCCAACTGGCAGGCTCTTGTTAGTGCTATTAATTCAGACTGTTGAGCAGCAAAGACATTATGCAAGTGTTTTCAAGGATATACACTGGAGAAACAGTGGCAAGGTCAGCCTGGTACATTCCATGAGGTCCTCACAGATATGACCCATCGGTAAATAATATAAAATCAGGATTATCCATAGGGCTTTCTTGAAGCTCAGTCCTAGGAGATAAAAGATTGTCAGTTAAAACAAAACAATCATGCTTTTCATTATTGACGTCTGATTCTTCTGGGAGCAAAGTGGCTGGATTAAGTTTGTTATACCTGTGAAAAAGTTACGTTCAGTGAGAGCAAAACAATTTCATGAGAAGTTAATCAGCTTGCTGAATAATGTTGTGTGTGCTGAGCGTTTAATAAAGTTTCCACGGAGTGGGGAACAAAGATGGTGAGAAGGGTGACTGATGACTATCTCTTCTGCGGTCTGACACAGCACAGATGTTGCTGTGATAGCCTGGAGACAAGAGGAAAGGCCCTTAGCTACCTAATCTAGCTGTTGGCTGTAATATCCTATTGGCTGCTGGGTTAATACTCCTGGTGCGACACTTTTGTTTTCATGTATAAAAAGAAAAAAAGGTAGGGAATTCCCAGGTGGTTCAGTGGTTAGGACTCGACACTTCAGTGCCAGGGCCCAGGTTCAATCCCTGGTCAGGGAACTAAGATCCCACAAGCCATGTGGCCAAAAAAAAAAAAAAGAAAAGAGGTGAATCATAATTTGGATGCCCCAGGGCTGGGGCCTTTGCCAGGAGGTTTTAAAGGGTTGCCGTGGCTTCAGAATGTTCTGTTTCCCAGCAGAGAGATTCAGGTTGGTCTTTTTTTTATATATAAATTTATTTATTTATTTTTGGCTATGTTGGGTCTTCATTGCTGTGTGTGGGCTTTCTCTAGTTGCGGCGAGCGGGGACTACTCTTCATTGCGGTGTGCAGGCTTCTCACTGCGGTGGCTTTTTTTTGTTTTTAATTTTTTATTTTTGGCTGTGTTGGGTCTTCATTGCTGTGCACAGGCTTTCTCCAGCTGCGGCGAGCGGGGACTACTCCTCGCCACGGTGCGTGGGCCTCTCACTGCGGTGGCCTCCTCTGCTGCAGAGCACGGGCTCTAGGTGCACAGGCTTCAGTAGCTGTGGCACGCGGGCTCCAGAGCGCAGGCTCAGTAGTTGTGGTGCACAACCTTAGTTGCTCCGCGGCATGTGGGATCCTCCTGGACCAAGTCTCAAACCTGTGTCCCCTGTGTTGGCAGGCGGACTCCCAACCACTGCGCCACCAGGGAAGCCCCGGTGGCTTTTTTTATTGTGGAGCACGGGCTCTAGGTGCAGGGGCTTCAGTAGCTGTGGCTCATGGGCTCTTAAGAGCGCAGGCTCAGCAGTTGTGGCACATGGGCTTAGTTGCTCCATGGCATGTGGGATCTTCCTGGACCAGGGCTCAAACCTGTGTCCCCTGCATTGGCAGGCATATTCTTAACCACTGTGCCACCAGGGAAGTCCCCAGGTTGGTCTTGTTTAAGCAAACTATATGATGGTTGAACCACTAAGGAAAAATTTGGAATCCAGTTTCTGTAGTAGCCTGCAAGGCCTAGAAAGCCCCTTAATTGCCTTTTTGTCTTAGGGGTGGGAAACACCAAAATGCCTTTCATTCTATCTAGATCACTTAAAAGTCCTTCTTTAGATATCATGTGTCCTGAATATTTCACATTAGCTTTACAAAATTGTAACTTTTTTCTTGGACACTTTATGTCCCTTTGTAGCTAGCTTCTGAAGCAAGCACAGGGTGTCTTGCTGACTATTTATCAAAGAATTTTTGAACACAACAACAAATCATCTACATATTGTATCAACAATCACTTATGTGGAAAAGCTAGATATTCTAAGTCTGCTTTTAATATCTGGGAAAAGTAAGTGTGGCTTTCAGTATAGCCCTATGGCATCACAAGCCATGTGTATCGCTGTTCATTCCAAGTGAAGGCGAAGAGATATGGGTCATCAGGGTGTGCAGGGATACTAGAATGCACGGCAGAGGTCTATCCCAGAAAAGAACTCATTATTTTCAGGAATATAGAACAGTAAGGTATGGAGATTTGGCACTACAGAATGGTGAGGGTTACTAATAGCATTGATAGAGCTCAAATCCTGTACAGATCTTCAACCTTTGCTATTCAGTGTTTTAACAGTCAAAATGGGAGTGTTACGAAGGTTGGTGCAAGGCACAGTAAGACTTTTATTAATGTAAGCTGATATCAAAGATTTTATTCCTTCTCTGGCTTCCTGCCTCAATGGATATTGACAAACATTGGGCAGGGGGTTGTTCTGGTCTATGGTAATTTTAATGGGTTATGTGGAATGTATTTTTCTAATGTCAGTAGGATTAATTGCCCGTAATTCTTGAGGTACTAAGCCCAGCAATTTTTCTTGTTCTGCATCACCCTCATCATGGGTCACAAATATTATATGATGAAGGAAATCTGATTAATCCTTCAGTTCTAAAAACATTCTCCCTTTAGGAGTAAAATAAATATGGGCTTCATGAGTTTCTGATAAACTCTCTACCGATCAGATGAATAGGGGCACTTTCTACTAGGAAAAAGGAGTGTCTTCCTTTAATTTCTCCTAAGTGTCAATAAAATTCTAAAGGTAATGAGTTAAGAGCCTTAATAGGTACGTTAGAGACCCCTACCGTGTGCATTGAAGTATTACTCTGAGGGAGGGAGGCTTTGATTTTGGTAGGGTTTAAAACTGAAAAGGTGGCCCCTGTATCCATGAGGGCTTTGTTCCTCCTTGTATTTTCAAGGTAGTATTTTTACTATCCCAGAGTGTTAGAGAAAAGAAAAGGAAAGAATCCCACTGTTCCCCTGGAGCAGCCCTATTCTTGCTTAGCTTGGAATTCTGGTTTGAAATCCTGTTTTCCCCTGAAATCTTTCTGCATTTTTCTGCAGCTCCTTCTCTCATGACCAGATTTTCTACAGTAAAAGCAAATTCTATATTCCTTTGTCAGTCATGGATTGAACAGGGGTTTGTTAAACAGCGACTGACCTTGATTACTTAATTGGGACAATTGAAAGTTGATAGTCTTCATAGATGTATTTCTCTTCTTTTTAATGGTTTTGGAACATTGTTTGGCCACTGTGATAAGGGTGTTTGTATGTAATGCAGACCAACTTAAACCGTGCCTTTTAATTAGGCACGATTAGCCAATTTCTCATCTATGCCTTCTGAAACAGCAGAGTTAAGCAAAGGATCATTTTCGTGGTGAGAGAATGATTCAGGTGTCATGCCAGAGTATTGTTTAAAAGTTTTCTTGAGCCCCTCATAATAATCCAGAATTTATTCATCTGGCCTTTGTTTATACTGCTGAATCTTTGTCCAGTCTACAGTTTTTGGGAAGAGCTCTGGGATAAATCCAAGCCATTTATGACCTAATTTCTTGCATTCAACTCAAGCCTATGGGCTATGCAAATCAGAATCTGTTAAGTGGTGTTTCCTTTCCGCTCTCTCCATCCATTCCTTTGCCTTACTTTCAGAAACTAAGAGCTGTATTCATTGATACAGTCTGAAAACCTGGACTCATAGGTTCGGGTGGTTAACTCAGATTCCTTAGCAAATCCCAATGGGTCTTGACTAGGACCAGGAAATTCCTTAACTAAAGCTCTAAGTTCTGCTCATGTCAAGGCTGTGTACCTAGACACCAAGGCTGGTTCACCTCTTCCCGTAATAGGTATCTCCTTAAAGGGGCTATAATTACTTCTTTTTTAAATTTTTATTTTATTGAAATATAATTGATTTACTATAATTACTTCTGATTTTATGTCCTCCTTTACTGGGGGAGAGGAAGCAGCAGGTTGCAGAGGTGACAGAAGAGAGAAAGAAATAGCATCTGGGTCAGGCAGTCCAGCTAAAAGAGGATAAAAGGGAGTAGCAAAGGGAGAGGCAGGGTTAACACTAGTGATTTTATAAAATTCCAATATCATTTCAAGCCATTTTGTTGTTGTTGTTGGTTTTCTGCAAAGAAGTTACTTTATCATATCCTCTTTTAGAAGCCTCTAAATACAAATCAAAATAAGCATTCCATTCAGCCTATTTAATCTTATTTTTCTAGCTTCGCACACACACAAAAATTAATTTTAGAATGTCAGAGGAACCTCAATTTGGCCATTTTAGGTTGAGATCTCCTTTAGTATAGTTTCCCCAATTAACTAAGTATTTGCAAGTATAAATTCTATACGTATTGTTCATGAGCCTGGCTAGGGTGTTAGTTAGAGATTGGCAATCTGTTTCTCCTTTTTCTTTGGTTCTGAAAGCTTTTTTTCCCATTCCAGGGCTGGTGTGCCAAGATAAAAGTGCTAGTGATTGTGTGATGGGCCAACATGCTGTTTGTGAGCTTAACTCCTCTAGGTGTCGCCCTAGAGTCATTTCAGCTCTTTTACCTGTCTCGGTTTCTCCCTCCAGCAGTCTAAAACTGACCTGGGTGCTCAGAACACTGAGTGGCCAGCTCTCATATGTAGTCCTGGGACAAGAAGTTTTTAAATTACATGAGTGAGTTTGCCTATGGGACTGCTACATGGTAGGAGGACTTGCTTCCACCACTACTGAAAGCTTCTCAGTTGCCTAAGAAAGCCACTGCTGCCCAGAAGGAGATGTTTTCTTCTTCAGAGCTGAAAGCTCTTATGTGATATCTTGACTTTTATTCCAACAAACTCAAAGTAGCCAATTCAAGGAAAAGCAATAGGCCAGTCTCCTAGCTAATCACCCAGTCCAAACCCACCCAGTGTCTTTCAACTGAGTAAAATCATCCCAGTGTATTTTTTTTTTTTTTTTTTTGGCCATGCTGTGTGGCCTTCAGGATCTTAGTTCCCCCCAACAGGGATGGAACCTGTGACCCCTGCAGTGGAAGTTCGGAGTCCTAACCACTGGATCGCTAGGGAATTCCCTTTTTCTTTCTTTCTTTTTTTTTTTTTTGCTTGGTTTTGTTTTGTTTTTCTTTTTTTGCCAGTGTCTTTCAATTGGGGTAACCCCCCGTGTCTTTCAACTGAGCAAACTCTTCTGTTTTTCAAATGGGGTAACCCAGGTACCTCTTCCTGAAGCTAAGTTCAAGAAAAACCTATTCCTCACAGCAAGGAGTCTGTCCACCACAGAATAAAACTTAGGATCAGCAGCTAATAACGGGAGATCCAGCACCCAGGAGAGACTCACCTAAATTCTCCTGGACTCACCTAGGAGACAGGTGGGCACAAGGGACCTCTGCTGGTACCAAAGTTCCAGATCCTCATAGAGTTCGGGCAAAGGAGAGAAGTCTACTCTGGGTCCCTTCGCCATTGCCAAAACTATCTACTGAATAAAAACACACAACTTAAAAGTTGTAAGTTAAGTTTTATTCGGGGACCTTATTGAGGACTAT